TTTTGGCCCCAGCATGTTCTTGATCCCGGTTTTGCACGCCCGTTCTTTTTTATCCCTATCCACCATCCGTAATTTTGATATTTTCGCGATCGAAAAGCATCGTACGAACCAACGTTCCACTGTTCCCATTCTGTGTTGTCTTTACTTCCATTTGGCTGAAACGTAATGATTAGTTTATCTCCCATGAGGAAAAAATATTAATGATTTCAGAAACGTAAATTAAAGCTGTTTTAGCTGTAGATTTTCTGCAAAATGTTACACGTGTCCTAAATATGCATAGTGTATTTTCTCATTTTGCTATACAGCTACTCGCGTTAGGAAGTATATTTTAATTAACAACAATTAGTTATATAACAATCTTAAGTTTACCTCCCCGTAAAGACGGCCCTTTTTATTGAAAGCCAAATACAGGCTAGTCTGAATACTTTGTATCCGAATTACTCCAAATGCTACTGGTATAATGTGTAGTAAAGCTAAAAATAAATAAAAAGAACCATTCTTATAAATTTATCTAATCACAATCGACTTACTTTACCCGATTTGTTTTAATAAATACCATGCGGTTCATTTGTCGCATTGAAACCGCGAACACGACCAGAGTTCGATACACCAAGATGATATCCAGTTCGACAGAACAATTTGATTACGACACAATTGTACACAGGATTTTGTGCCGGTTTCCTAGGATCCCATATAACGCAAGGCGTGTGTTTAGCCAATTCCGATCTCAGATAACGCGTAGTTCTGTAAAAGTGAATTCAATATTTAGAATACGTATCTGGCGTTTATGAATCGTAAATATAAAATCTATAAATATACACGCACTTAATTCCAACGTCAAGAAAACGTTGAATGGATTTTAAAGTCATTTGTAATTGAAAAATACCTACAGCCTGAAAATGAATTACGAAACGCTTTTCGACGTTTACGAAACGTTCTCTGACGCTTAAACTGAATTCTTCTACCTACTAGAGAACATTTTAACGTACAGCTTGCGTCACGATTCATTCATTCGTCCTCGATCGTTGGAACAATGGCGTTAAAAACAGAGGACGGGATAGTATTATAAATCTGTGCGAAGTAATATCCGGAGACGTGCTATTTATAACATATCATTACGTTTGGAAAAATGGGCTGATCGACTTTTCAGGTCAGCACGCTTCGTGAATCAGCGTGCCTCGTTGCACTGCAGACATTTCCAACCCCCGTTAATTTTAAACAGATTCTCGAGGGGGAGAAACGCGGTTCCGATAGATTTTACTCGGAGAACAAAGCGTATACACATACACATGTATTAATAGTAATCTAGCTAATGGTGCCAGTAACGAAGTGGAAACGTTATATTGCTGTTTTTCTAAAATTGAAGAATTGAAGATTGAAATTTTATAATTGATGAGAATCCGCATCGTTACAGTAAAATTGTTTGATCTTTCTATAATCTTCTTTCATTGTTATTAGAAAAATTATTATATTGTGTTTGTAATTATTTAAATTATACGACAGATTCGTCACGAGGTAAGATTTACATTCCGTTCTTTTGTAATTATTCCTAGTCCCAGAAATTCTGTCTTGAAATTGCGCAACAGAAATAAAAACACGCCTCCGTTAATTACACTTTGAACGTGGCACGATCTATTTGTTGAAACCCGAGCGCGGACTCGGTCATAAACGTCGATCCTAATTTTACGTTACACATCGTGCGTGTGCTCTAATGCAATTCGTGCGGAATTGCAGGCCGAGCCCGCAGCCTCACTGGTTGCCACGGTGCTCGAATGCCGGTAATAATATATGTATACCTAACACGAACCTTACCTACACCCTACCTAGTGACCCTGTGACAATATGAAGCTGAAAGTTAATCGAATCAAGTGATCAATGAGTGCATATCGTGTATCACGTTGTATGGTTACTGTGGAATCTCTTCATCAGAACATGTAATTTCGAGGTATATCGTGTTCGCATCCTAAAACTGCTATTTCGCATATCATCTTACGCGAATTATCTCAAAATTTCAAAATTGGCTAAGATTGCGATCCTAATATTATTTATGTGTCATCATTTTGTTTCACGTATGCAGAAGTCTGTAGAATAATAGTATTCTCATGATAGAGATGCATCATGTTTAATTAACTGTCACGCTAATTTCTGTTAATTGTCTATTTAATGATTCTTAAAGTAGAGCATCAAGATCGATTTTAAAACGATTTTACGGTAATGCACCGCAGAAAATACATCTGACTAACGTAAGTGATCGATGAACTCGTTCCAGTTCCTCGTGCACGAGCGGTGCTTTTGTTTACTATAATAATCATCTTTATATTCGGAGCTATTCATTTTTTAAACCCCGTTACCTTTCAGTCTTTGATGTTCACTGACCCTTTTCATCATCGATTAACTTTAACCCGAAATCTGAAAACCGAGTTTGAAACGATCGAAGAACGTATACGGGGAACAATAGGAAAATTTTAAAGTTTGCCCTACGTTAGGTGGAGAGTTAATCGATTCAAGTGATTAATGAACGCTCGTTGTAGGTACACGTTAGAAGGAAATTACGTTTGCGGACTTATTGTTGCTCGCTTGCAAGCCGCTCGGAGAGAAATCCTACTTTAAAATATTCATTACCCTTTCATCAATGTTAGAAGTTAATTGTATTAATATTTCTGATCGAAAGAGGTCTGTTAGGTTTTACTTAATTATCCTTAATAAAATCATGAGGCTGAAAGAAATGCCGGGATGTATTGGAAACATACAGTCTGTTAATTAGAATAATAATTAAGTGCTTCAATGATAGACAGGATGTTAATTACGACTTTCCAGTAAATTAATAAAAATCGACCATCAATCAAGGTTTACTGCAGAATTGCAAATAACTTAATAACTGAACGGGTGTAACGAAGATTCGATTTTACTCTCGGCTATCGACAGCTCTAATTATCGGCGAATACCCATTCTCTCCGTACTTCACAGTGCCGGTCTGAAGTCTCCTGGTTTCCCTTTTTTTCCTACAATCACCATTGATCTCCTTTTCGTTTCCCGATCCTTTCTCTTCGTCGATCGATAAATCTGAATCGTAGCTATCATCGCTGCAACTGTCATCGATATCGCTGCATTCCTCGTCACATGTCGGCGCCTCTAAATTTTCGTGAATCCAACGAAGACTCATCCTTTTTTGATAATTTTATTACCTCTAAACGTTGAGATAAACAATATTCCATTAGTAAAACTTTCTACAATACCAATAAGTAGAATCAACAATAGTAGAAATTTCATAGGATGAGTTTACTAACTGAATTCCAGATGGTATAAGTGGTACCGCGCAATAAATAAATAAGAAAATGAATTGGTGTCTCGAGAAATCACGGTACATACAAATTGACAGTAACTATTGTGAGATAGTAAAATTTTATAAATAACATTAAACTTTTTGCGTTTGCGGTTACATCGTAAAACAGAATCGCACTGTAATAAATAGAAAACTAACGGCAGTTCCGGTCTGTTAATGCAAGGATTAGTAGAGCGACATGTATGTTACTCGTACTGTTGTGTGCGTCAGTCATATTGTCACAATTGTCCGTCAAGTACTTCGTATGAAAAAAAATCAATTAACTGATCCGAAAACTTTGCGAAATGAATGATTGCAAAATCTGTTTAATTTACATTTTTACGAAATACAGTGATTGTTATCCATGATCTTTAAACTGCGCGTTTCTCCAAATAAAAATTTCACTTTCCAGTTTACCTTTTCTCAAAGCGAAATTAAGTGAATTCAGTAAACTAAGTAGATTCCTCAAAACTATTGAACAATTTCAATTTCATCTTATAAGTATGACATGATAGATGTTCGAACACTTTCTGACAGTTCATTATTATTACTTAAGACTTTTATTTACTTTTATTT